AAAACAAATCTAAATGCCTAAGCACAATTTTGCAATGTTGACATGTGTAAGTAAAACCGTACATATCATCACAACTATTTTGTACATCCAGGTGGATTATACCTTGTTTTTTTCAGGACAGATTGGGATTTCATTTGATGGTAAATGGTAATGGATATCTCCTGATTTTTTTTTATTATCAAAGGAAAACTGGCCCAAAATAGTAAAAAAAAATAATTTTTTTATTTAGCTGTGCGTTTCTTGTTACTACCATAACCTACCACCAAAGAACAACCCAAAATAAATTCTCCAACTCATGACGATCACAGCGATACCATATATTTGTTGTTTTATTTTATATATATTTTTTGTTATTTGTTGTTTGTACCCATAGTGCAGCCCAGAAACAATAGTGCACATTTTGTTTTTGTCTTTTTTTTACCTAAAACACACTGACACTGACATCGACATTAACTGACACTGATACCAATTTTTTTTTTTTTTCAAATCCTGACCTTTGACCCTGACCCAAACACTAACCCTGGCACTGAACTAGATCAAACCTTGATCTAGGGATATTTTCTTTATTTTTTCTTTTATTGTTTTATATTTATTTATCTTTTTTTTCACAAACATTTTTTTCCCACTATGCCAGGAGTTAGAGAGATACAATGTATCTCTCTCCTCCATTCATAGAGAGAGAAAAAAAACAAGGGGGCCGGGCTGTACAGAGGCTATCACAGCGATCATGTGACCTGGAATCGGGAGTCCTGGGTCACGATTGTTAGAACGGGACCTGGGGCTCTCAGTGACACTGCGGTCTTTGTAGTGGGTGCACGCCATGCGGTGCACTCCCAGCACAAAGACAGGTATGCAAATATGCTGGCCCACGGAAAAAAAGCCCAGTTCTGTGACGCCGCATATTTGTGCTACGTCGGCGTCAAGGGGTTAAACTTTAATACTGCTCACTGCTGCACTTGAGATGGCCTTGCTATTGTTTATGGTGATCTGGATGCCAAATGTCATCTCATGCCTAGTCCTTACAGTTAATCACTTTGTATGCTAAATTGTGTCATTATCATTGTTATTCCATTGTATGCTTGCCTACTTACCAACCAAATTGGCTCCTGTGTAGTGCTTTACATTTGTGTAGAGTAACTTGGCATGTTAGTAAGATAATATCTGAGAGTATGACTTTGGGTGGGGGGCCCATGGAACACAGCTCCTTTAGAGAGGTGGGGAGACCCCTGTCTCAGCTTCCCATATCCCTCTTATGTGTAAGTCACCCTGTGCCTGTTAGGGGTACAGGGTGGAATGTCCTGATATTGTGTAGACATGTATAGGTGGGGGTTGTTCATTGTTTAATGTCATGTGGTTGTCCCATTGTTCTATTGTGTGTTTTGCTTGGGAGCAAACTATTATGGGATGTATGTGTATTGGCGCGGTGGGGGGTGTCTGCTGTGTGTCTCTTGTTACTAAATGTATTGCCCCTGCCCTGTGTATATATCTTGTATCTGTGTTAAAATAAAGCAGTCTTTTTCTGGTTTCCTTCAAGTCTGGTGCTGTCTCCTCCTGTATGGTCAGCGGTGGTATCCGTGGATCTGTGTTTGGACAGGGAAACGGGAGTCTAACGGAAATACTCTAGTGCAGTCAAGGTCCAGTTCCGTTACATTGGTGGCAGCAGTACAGGCCCCCCACCCAAAGTGACTCCCGTCACAATAACACCTCAGAAATATAACATATCTCCACTTGAGCCCTCAGTAATATTCGTTCTGTTAAACACCAAGTAGGGGTGGACTGACAACTCATGGGGCCCCCGGGCAATAGGGGATCATGGGGCCCCTGTGTCCTTGCCCAAACTCAAAAAAGCCTATGAAAAAGGTACCAGGGGCATCTCATGGGGGCCCCCTACTGACCCCCCCCCCTACAAGGCCCTCGGGCAGTGCCCAAGTTTCCAAATGGTCAGTCCGCCTCTGACACCAAGCCATGCTGTCAGTAACATACTGATTTTTTCTGAGCTGGTATTACCCTTTCTGATAATATATCTCTGTTTGCTTTATCACATTACAGCAAAGTTCTTTAGAGCATGATTAATGGGATGTCCCAATCCAAGAGCCAAAATGTTTTGCAATAATTCTAACTAGTTCTTATATATGATAGCTGCATTCCTTTTCTTTTTTCTCTAGACTAAGTACATTTTTTCTGCATGTATACAAAAATACAGTACCCCTTGATCCTGCAAAAAATCAGCACCCTGTAACTTCTTGTGAACTGAACTAAAATCTCAAACAATGTTATCAACTTTCCCAGATATCTTCTATGAACTTCAGAGCCCTTCTTCCCTACGTAATTAGAATGAGAAGAGCAAGAGGAGTTTCGTAGTTCAAGTCAGGAGACCTGCCTTAGGGTGGCAATGCTACTCCTTCATAAATAAGTGAGTGTTGTCAACCTAGGAAAGATCACCAGGTGAAAAGAAATGTAAAAAAAGGTCTGAAAATTAAAACAAATGCAGTCACAACATCTAAAGACTGGTAACCTGTAAAATATTACAGAGGCAGGGGCGGATTGACAACTCATGGGGCCCCCGGGCAATAGGGGATCATGGGCCCCTGTGTCCTTGCCCAAAGTCAAAAAAGCCTATGATAAAGGTACCAGGGGCATCTCATGGGGCCCCCTACTGACCCCGGGCCCTCGGGCAGTGCCCGAGTTTCCAAATGGTCAGTCCGCCCCTGTACAGAGGGAATGCCAACAACAGCTGGGCCATGGGAGCCTATAGGGGGCTTCAGGAACCTGGAATTCACAGCTGTTGTCAAGCACTTCCTTACACAGAGCTATGGGATCACGTGACCGGACAAGAGCAGATTAAAAACAGGTGAGTACACATCTTTTATATACAAGTTACGCTGGATAGGTAGGAGGATGGAGACATTTTTAGGAATCATTACAATTAGGATTTTCTTCTATTAAAGCAGTAATAAACCCAAAAGCAAACATTTATTATATTGCAACTTACTAATTCATAGATGTGATGGCTGCATTAGTTTTCTTTTTAGGCTTTCTTTCCCCTATTTTCACCTGGTGATCTGGCCAGTAAGTCTGTAAACTGTTGCTGTAACTGCTTATAAAGCATTCGGTGAAGTTTGGCTTCGATTTCTTAGTGTATCTAAATCTGCTAGTACATTTAACACTTCCCTCCCCCCAAATTAACAATGCAAATGTCCAAATGTGCCCCCTGTACTCCTTCATTCAGAGTGGGGGCACTCTAATACAGGAGGTGTGTCACTGGCCAGATCACCAGGTGAAAACAGAGGGAAAAAGCCTTAAAGAAAACTAAGTCACCCACCACATTTATTGATCATTAAGCTGCAATATCTTACATTTTTGGTTCTGAGCTTGATACAACTATAGGCAAAATAAGTATAAATCAGCACACATATATATATAAAATCCTCAACAATCCCTTAAAGTCATATCAATATCCTTCCCCTGAAGTACTAATAAAATATATATTCATTGACTTAAACCCAAAAACCCACAATTATAGTGAAAAGATCAAAACCCAAAGAGATTACCCAAAAAATAAAAAATATCAAATATATATAAAAGAACAAAAATAAATAAAGTCCCAATATGCAAAAAGTGTCCAATAATGTGTCCAAACAAAGATCAATTCCTATCAAGAAATTGATCTTTGTTTGGACACATTATTTGGACACTTTGCATATTGGGACTTTTTATTTTTGTTCTTTTATATATATTTGATATTTTTTATTTTTTGGGTAATCTCTTTGGGTTTTGATCTTTTCACTATAATTGTGGGTTTTTAGGTTTAAGTCAATGAATATACAACTATAGGCAAAACTTTTTTTTTCATTTTAGATAGAGTAAGGGAGGGTTATAACCCCTGCAAGGTTTAATGCAGCCACCACATCTAATAATTGGTAAGCCGCAAAATATTACATTCTTGGTTTTGTGGTTACATAGTATTCTTGTTTAACAGATTGAAAAAAAGGTTCTTGTCCATCAAGACCAACCATTTATTTATCCTCAAAACCCTAAGTTGATCCAGAGAAAGCCAAAGCATACTTTTAAAGAATCCAGTTTGCTAACACTGAAAAATTCCTTCCTAACACCAAAGGCAAATTGGGTAACACTCACAGATCAGCAGGATGGATTGAGGGTGTGGGTCCTCGGGCCTGCTCTGAAGTCTAGGGGGAGGATGTGTGGCCTTTTGGTTCCTTCCTCCCCTGTCCCTAGGGGGTTTTCTCTTTGGGAGAGCCCCCTGACCAAGTACTGGGTGTCTGGCTTCGGCTGGACACAAGGAACGGTGGTCCACCAGGCCTTTTGGCCAGGAGGACCAAATAGGAACCTTGTCCCTGTCAGGAGCTTCGTTCCCCAGGGGGATCAGGGTAGTGGTCCATCCCCTTCGGGGGGAAGGACAAAGCACACCCCGAAGTGCACTTTTTCGTGTGGTGTGTTTGCACTTGCACATTTTTTGTGAACACTTACGGGTTTTTCGTTCTAGTTTGCACGTTTGCGGACTTAAAAAAAAACAAAAAAAAACACTCACAGATCAGCATTCTGTAACGCATTTCATATAAATCTCCTGAGGAATAAATCCAGCTCTTAGTAATCTCCTTTGATGATGGATAGTATAGGGAGAATTGTAAGATTCAATGGCACATTTTATGAAGCTGTCTGAAAAGGGGGTAATCTGACTCTGTGAAAGTTAAAGTGGAACTTTAGTCAGAAAATTAGGATCACTTCAAGCTGGCCTCTTTTGCTGGTGTAGTTATGCAAAACATTAAAAATAAATGCCTATACAGTTTAAAATCCCATAATACACTGTCTCACCCTGCTCTGCACATGCTCAGTTGCTTTCTATTTGTTCTCACTGTGCTGTATATGTAGAGGCCAGTCTGCTGACAGCATAAAGATTTACTGCTGCTCAGGGGCTCTCCGGCAATGGCAGTCTCCGGCAAGAAGAGACAGGAGCAATGCTGAAGGCAATTTATAGCACACTCTAATTTTGGTAGCTTAATTTTTTTATGTGGAATGTATGTTCTTTGCTAAAGAACACTATTTTTTATAGTTATAATTGTTGTTATGTTACCCATATTCTTAAAGCAGCATTGCACCAGTGCTGCTTTAATAATATGCATATCCAGGGGCGGACTGACCATTTGGAAACTCAGGCACTGCCCGAGGGCCCAGGGTCAGTTAAGGGCCCCATGAGATGCCCCTGGTACCTTTTTTCATAGGCTTTTTTGAGTTTGGGCAAGGACACGGGCCCCATGATCCCCTATTGCCTGGGGGCCCCATGAGTTGTCAGTCCACCCCTGTGCATATCCTATAACATTGTTGCAGATAATGATGGCAAGAAAAGTAATATGTGGTATTTTAGCAGCCTAATAAATCAAGTACAAGTATCTGCTAACTTTTAAAAGGACTTACACTGATTATTATAATTATCTCTGTGCAGGTTTTTATTGTGTGCAGTAGGTTCATAGCCTCATCCAATTAGCCTAGTCTGATGGCTAAATATACATTTGGCCCACCTGGAAAAATAATATTTCCTCATACATATCAAAAGAGTAAGTGAAGCAGGTTATCTATGGACTATTATTATCTGAGTGACTGTACACTATATTGCCAAAAGTATTGGGACACCTGCCTTTACACGCATGAACTTTAATGGCATCCCAGTCTTAGTCCGTAGGGTTCAATATTGAGTTGGCCCGCCCTTTGCAGCTATAACAACTTCAACTCTTCTGGGAAGGCCGTCCACAAGGTTTAGGAGTGTGTCTATGGGAATGTGTGACCATTCTTCCAGAAGCTCATTTGTGAGGTCATGTACTGATGTCGGATGAGAAGGCCTGGCTTGCAGTCTCCAGTCTAATTAATCCTAAAGGTGTTCTATCGGGTTGAGGCCAGTCAAGTTCCTCCATCCCAAACTCTCTCATCCATGTCTCTACGGACCTTGCTTTGTGCACTGGTGTGCAGTCATGTTGGAATAGGAAGGGGCCATCCCCAAACTGTTCCCACAGAGTTGGGAGCATGAAATTGTCCAAAATGTCTTGGTATGCTGACGCCTTAAGAGCTCCCTTCATTGGAACTAAGGGGCCAAGCCCTACCCCTGAAGAACAACCCCACACCATAATCCCCCATCCACCAAACTTTACACTTGGCACAGTGCAGTCAGACAAGTACCGTTCTCCTGGCAACTACCAAACCCAGACACGTCCATCGGATTGCCAGACATAGAAGCGTGATTTGTCACTCCAGAGAGCAGGTACAGTCCAGTGGCGGCGTGCTTTACACCACTGCATCTGATGCTTTGCATTGCACTTGGTGATCTAAGGCTTGGATGCAGCTGCTCAGCCATGGAAACCCATTCTATGAAGCTCTCTATGTACTGTTGTTGTGCTAATCTGAAGGCCACACGAAGTTTGAAGGTCTTTAGCTATTGACTCTGCAGACAGTTGGTGATTTCTACACACTGTGTGCTTCAGCATGTGCTGACCCCACTCTGTCATTTTTCGTGGCCTACCACTTCATGGCTGAGTTGCTGTTCCTCCCAGCTGCTTCCACTGTGTTATAATACTACTAACAGTTGACCGTGGAATATTTAGTAGGAAAGAAATTTCACGGCTGGACTTATTGCACAGGTGGCAACCTATCACGTTACCACGCTTGAATTCTCACAAGGTACCCCCTCGTGTATCGCATTGTATTGTTACTGTTCTGTCGCATGTTCTGTCCCCCTTTGTAATGTACAGCGCTGAGTGAACTGTTGGCGCTTTATAAATACTGTATAATAATAATAATAATTCACTGAGCTCCTGAGAGCGACGCATTCTTTCACAAATGTTTGTAGAAGCAGTCTGCATGCCTAGGTGCTTATTTTATACACCTGTGACCAAGGGGGTGATTGATACACCTTGATTTGGAGGGTGTCCCAATACTTTTGGCAATAAAGTATATGTCTGGCACTTTTAAATCTCTTCAATCCAATATTGTATTCACCACCTGATGTACTGTAATGCACCACTAGGTGGTGACACAACACCATTTAATACACTTTTATTAATCAAGTACTTTGCACATGCTTAAAAGAGAAGTGTGTTTCCCCCCCCAAATTATACTTACTTAGATGGATGCAGCATCTGTCCCCAACCGGCTCTAAGGGTGAGAACTCAGCAATCACATGACCACTGATCACTGACTCCTCACCGCTGCTGTGAGCAGAGAGCAGTGACTGTCAATCACTGCTGTCTGTTCTGCCTCCCCCCCTCCATCCCCCCCGTGCTACTGGAGCGCTGGGCTGTGGAGGGGTAAGGAATGGCTGGCTCAGGATTTCAGCTCCTTGCTAAGGCGCTGTGCCAGGTGCTGCTCCAAACTGTAGACCGGCTGAGTGATGTCAGCCGAACAGCAGGCTCCAGCCCCGTGTCAGCTGAAAATGGGTCACAGGAGTGCAGAACGTACTGCACGTCTGTGATCCACAGGGAAGTACAGACAAAAGAGCTTTGGCTCTACTTCTCCTTTAAACTGTTACCACTTTTGCAGTCACATTTGAGAAAACCTCACTATATACAACCTCTCCTAGATTGTAAGCTCGAAAGAGCAGGGCCCTCGAACCCCTTGTGTATTGTTTTGTTACTGTATTGTCCCATGTACTGTCCCCCACTATAATGTACAGCGCTGAGCAAACCTTTTAGCACTATATAAATACTGTATAATAATAATAATAATAATAATATATATGTTTGCTATGTGTTTCCATTCACACAGCATACCTAAAACTGTTTTTTAACTTTACATGTTTCATGGAAGAAGGCCCGTGGACAGGTTGCAAGCTATTCTGAACAGTTTCAAAGTGAGTCCATCCCCAGACAAAATGGAGAAATACTGAGTTTCACATCATCAACATAGCCAAGCTTCTAGATCTTTAACCCCTTGTTTGGACAGACAGTGTGCATATCTAGTGTACAACTGATAATGAGATCTGCCAGCACAGTACAAACAGCGTTAATTATGGTAAACATTACTCCTTGGCCCATTATGCATAGCAGAGCAAAACTTCAAGTTTGACATGTTCAGAAAAGAGCAGGTAACAAGGTAAGCAGCAAATCTGAAATATTTTGTTAAGTTTGAAATGGCTTTGTAACCCTTTCCAGACTGATACATGTCAATAACTTTGTTTTTCATCCAGGGGCGGACTGACAACTCATTGGGCCCCCGGGCAATAGGGGATCATGGGGCCCCTGTGTCCTTGCCCAAACTCAAAAAAGCCTATGAAAAAGGTACCAAGGGCATCTCATGGGGCCCCCTACTGACCCCGGCCCTCGGGCAGTGCCCGAGTTTCCAAATGGTCAGTCCGCCCCTGTTCTCATCTGTTCTTGAATCTCTTCAGATGATGTGTTGCTTTTTGAAATCTTTTAGCTTGCTTCACTTTGTCCGACAGCTTCTATTTAAGTGATTTCTTGATTCAACGGGTCTGGCGGTAATACAGCCTGGGTGAGGCAAGTGAAATTTAACTCAGCTTTCCAAAAAATGTGGTTAATCACAGTTCATTTATGATGTAGCAAGAAGGTGTGGGTGGGAGCAATTACTTTTTTACATAGGGCCAGGCAGGTTTGAACAGCTCTTTTCCCTTAATAAATAAAATCATAATTTACAGAACGCATTTTGTATTTACTAACGTTATCTTTATGTAATAATAAAATGTGTTTTATGATCTGAATCATTTAAAGCCTTACTAACCCACAACAGTAAAATCAGTTTATATATACAGTAGAGCATGCTTGTTATACTCACTATGGAACCTAAAGGGTTAATCCTATGAGTTGTGTAAAAAAGGATGTTTGATTCTGTCTTCTCTGATCCTCCCCTTTTTCTGCTGTCCCTAATCCATCTGCTTATAGAACAGAGCCTTGGGGGAAAGCTGCACATGCTAATTTTGGTGTGCTTTGCTAGAGGTTTTTTTTTTCTTTCTTGGGAGAGTGCGTGTGATCAGCACGGGCCAATCAGCACTGTCCAGACAGAGGGTCAGGGGTCCTGCAGCCTCATAGGACAATCAGGGGAGAATGAAAACTCCTCCTACAAGCTTTAAAAGGGAGCTCTGCTGGACACTGATAGAAGTCACAAGACTGCTCTAACTGCTATTGATAAAAGGTATTTAGCAGTTTGTATTTACTAAAATAATTTCATTTCCATGTTCTGTGTACTGTGGGAGACCAGATATAGAGAATGCAGGGTCCTGGGTTTAGTAACATTTTGAGTGTGACAAATATGCAAAAATAAAATACGTAAGGTTTTGGTGCACATGGACCAAACTGCACATGTGCATGTGGTCTTACAGTCTGGATTCTGGAATATGTATTGGTCTGGGACAGGGGCGGACTGACCATTTGGAAACTCGGGCACTGCCCGAGGGCCCGGGGTCAGTAGGGGGCCCCATGAGATGCCCCTGGTACCTTTTTCATAGGCTTTTTTGAGTTTGGGCAAGGACACAGGGGCCCCATGATCCCCTATTGCCCGGAGGCCCCATTAATTGTCAGTCCGCCCCTGGTCTGGGAGCTTCACACCAGACCATTTATGACAAGACGTGTGAAAACTGTGTGTTAGTTAAGGTTTTTGATGCCTCTGCTTTGTTCCTAAGAGAACTGTTTTTTTTTGTCAGATGTGCTGAATTCACATGGCGGCTTATCACAGGCAAGATATTTTTATCTAACTGTCTTATTAAATTTGAATTTTGGGGAAAATGAAGATGGTATTATGTTCAGCCCCACTTCCCCATTATCCCTACACAGATTGGGATTGGTCACATATCACTATAATCACACTCAATTGCACTTCTTGCCTGACAGGAGAAAAAAGGGGGCTGCCATATCTGACCTCTGTCTGAAAATACTAGTTAATTAACTAAAGGAAGATACATTTTAATGTACAGCGCTGAGCGCACTGTTGGCGCTATATAAATACTGTATAATAATAATAATAATAATAATAATAATTTCTCTATTGTAGACTACACACATCTTTTTATCAATGGATTTATGTGTAATATATATTTTGGCCAGTAGATGGCAGTGTTTAAATATCCTTTCTTCCCTGCACTGACAATGTGGTGTTTTTTTTTTTTGTTTTTTTTGTTTTTTGTTTTAATTGAGTTAATTTTAGTTAAATTGTTGTAATATTTTTGTATTATTTTAATTTGGAAACATCCTGTTATTTTATGTCCGATTTCAGCAGCCAGCGGGAGTGGCACCATCTGCTCTTCCTTTTCTGCAGCCTTTATAATGTATAGCAGGGGTCTCCAAACTTTCTAAACAAAGGGCCAGTTAACTGTTCTTCAGACTTTAGGGGGGCTGAAGTGTGGCCAGTGAGAGTAGAAAATCTCCTGGCATCAGTGGGGGTAAACAATGGCCAAACTTTAGCATTAGGAGGAGGAATAGTGCCCCATCATTGGTGTCAGTGGGGGAAATAGTGCCTCAAGGGCTGGATAAAGGCAAGCAAAGGGCCACATCCAGCTCCCGACCACAGTTTGGAGACCCCTGATGTATAGCCTTCAGTCATACACTACACACCATCCCCTGATGACATCCTTTCATGATAAAATGCTTAAGACGGAGTTTGATGGCTGACGTCATTACGCACGCCCAGGGACACCTGTATCTGTAACACACTTGCTGTTCTTTTGTGTTTTACTGTGAGTACACTATGCTGGTTTTTAATAAATGTGACTTGCGCAGGTTCACACTGTGGGAGGGCTTACTAAAACTCTTGCACACAGAATCATGTGCCGCTGGGCACAGTAACCAATCAGCTTCTAGGTTTTATTGTCATAGCTTAAGTGAAAAAAGTTGATTGGTTGTTATGCACAGCTGCACCAGATTTTGCAGTCTTCAGTTTTAGTAAATCTTCCATTATGAGCCTCTCCCTTCCTTCTCCATGATTGGTATATTACCACACTGAGGAGATTACATTATTTATTTCAGGTACCTATATTGCACCATCAATTTACACAGCACTTTACATATATATTGTCCATTCACATCAGTCCCTAACCCTCAAGGGGTGGTCAATCTAAGGTCCTTAACTTACATTCATACATACACATACTATGCCCAATTTAGACAGGAGCCAATGAACCTATCAGCATGTCTTTGGAGTGTGGGAAATCGGAGTACCTGGAGGAAACCCATGCAGGCACAGGGAGAACATGCAAACTCCAGGCAGGTGGTGCTGTGGCTGGGATTCAAACTAATGACCCTAGTACTGCCAGGTGGAAGTATATGTAAAGCAATAAATAGTACAAAGTGCAGCGCTAAATCTTAAATAATATATATAATAATAAATATATAAATACGTGCTAAAGATATGTGCAAATAAAGTAAAGTGCAACACGTGTATTCCCACCGGGAATATTAAGAGTTTTCAAAGTGATCACAACCAATAATTCAAAAATCACTCCAAATATAAATCACTCAAAATAAGTCCATATGAAAAATAGTGTCCAAAAAAAAAACTCAATCTTCATGCATGTCATGACAAGTGTCCACACTGTGTGAATCCAAACAATGGCTACAGTGGCCCCTCACCTCCTTACATAGACCCCACAGGGTCAGCTCGCCTGTGGGGTGAGTATAATATCCGTGACTTTATCTCTTGCAGAACAGAAGGGGTGGTGTACTGCTTAGAATGTTCATGTGGTCTCCAGTATGTGGGGAGGACCAAGAGACCTCTTTGGAAGCGAATACGAGAGCATATACAAAAAATCAAGAAAGGATCAGTGAAACATAGTGTGCCTAGGCATTTTTTGACCCACCATAATAAGGACCCCTCTATGCTGAAGTTTTGGGGAATAGAGAAATACAAGGGTCACTAGAGGGGGGGCCATAAAGTGAGGTCTCTTAGCAAATCAGCATCGATTTTTGACATGAAGACTCAGGTCCCGAGAAGCCTGAACGTAGATTTTGATTTGAATTGCTTTATTAGCAATAATAATCATTTTTAGCTTTACATGGTAATATCTGGCTTTTTATTTTATTGTATTTTATTTAAATTTTAAATTTTTTATTTAATACCTTATTTATTCCATCATGCGTTATGTTTTAAATTTATCAAATGGATTAGTATATGGGTATCTATTTACATCAGTGATTATATATATACAGTCAGGTCCATAAATATTGGGACATCGACACAATTCTAACATTTTTGGCTCTATACTCCACCACAATGGATTTGAAATGAAACAAACAAGATGTGCTTTAACTGCAGACTGTCAGCTTTAATTTGAGGGTATTTACATCCAAATCAGGTGAACGGTGTAGGAATTACAACAGTTTGCATATGTGCCTCCCACTTATTAAGGAACCAAAAGTAATGGGACAGAATAATAATCATAAATGAAACTTTCACTTTTTAATACTTGGTTGCAAATCCTTTGCAGTCATTACAGTCTGAAGTCTGGAACGCATAGACATCACCAGATGCTGGGTTTCATCCCTGGTGATGCTCTGCCAGGCCTCTACTGCAACTGTCTTCAGTTCCTGCTTGTTCTTGGGGGCATTTTCCCCTTCAGTTTTGTCTTCAGCAAGTGAAATGCATGCTCAATCGGATTCAGGTCAGGTGATTGACTTGGCCATTGCATAACATTCCACTTCTTTCCCTTAAAAAACTCTTTGGTTGCTTGCTTCTGCAGTATGCTTTGGGTCATTGTCCATCTGCACTGTGAAGCGTCCAATGAGTTGTGAAGCATTTGGCTGAATATGAGCAGATAATATTGCCCGAAACACTTCAGAATTCATCCTGCTGCTTTTGTCAGCAGTCACATCATCAATAAATACAAGAGAACCAGTTCCATTGGCAGCCATACATGCCCACGCCATGACACTACCACCACCATGCTTCACTGATGAGGTGGTATGCTTAGGATCATGAGCAGTTCCTTTCCTTCTCCATACTCTCTCTTCCCATCACTCTGGTACAAGTTGATCTTGGTCTCATCTGTCCATAGGATGTTGTTTCCAGAACTGTGAAGGCTTTTTTACATGTCGTTTGGCAAACTCTAATCTGGCCTTCCTGTTTTTGAGGCTCACCAATGGTTTCCATCTTGTGGTGAACCCTCTGTATTCACTCTGGTGAAGTCTTCTCTTGATTGTTGACTTTGACACACATACACCTACCTCCTGGAGAGTGTTCTTGATCTGACCAACTGTTGTGAAGGGTGTTTTTTTTCTTCACCAGGGAAAGAATTCTTCGGTCATCCACCACAGTTGTTTTCCGTGGTCTTCCGGGTCTTTTGGTGTTGCTGAGCTCACCGGTGCGTTCCTTCTTTTTAAGAATGTTCCAAACAGTTGTTTTGGCCACGCCTAATGTTTTTGCTATCTCTCTGATGGGTTTGTTTTGTTTTTTCAGCCTAATGATGGCTTGCTTCACTGATAGTGACAGCTCTTTGGATGTCATCTTGAGAGTTGACAGCAACAGATTCCAAATGCAAATAGCACACTTGAAATGAACTCTGGACCTTTTATCTGCTCATTGTAATTGGGATAATGAGGGAATAACACACACCTGGCCGTGGAACAGCTGAGAAACCAATTGTCCCATTACTTTTGGTCCCTTAATAAGTGGGAGGCACATATGCAAACTGTTGTAATTCCTACACCGTTCACCTGATTTGGATGTAAATACCCTCAAATTAAAGCTGACAGTCTGCAGTTAAAGCACAACTTGTTCGTTTCATTTCAAATCCATTGTGGTGGTGTATAGAGCCAAAAATGTTAGAATTGTGTCAATGTCCCAATATTTATGTACCTGACTGTATATGTAATGTACTATTGTATTTTATATTTGTTATTCCCGTGGAGCGATCTATTGTTTATACATGCAGTAAGATTGTAAACCCATGTTATGGGTGACTTCATGGGTATTTTTAATATTTTGTCCTTTTTATTGAATAATTATTATTTGCTTATTTAATTTTAAAGCACATTGAGGTGCAATATGCATTCTACTCACTAGGGGGGGGGGGGGGGTAGTGATTTGGGATGGTAATTTTATTTATTAGGGCATCCCACTACCAGTGTATTAATATATGGGTCCCCCAGTTTTAAGTAGGTTTAGATTGTCCCTTTTGATTAAATTTATTTTATGTTGAGTTTTTGTTGTAGCCCATATGTTGGTGGACTACAAGTATTTGTATTAGGTAAGAGCATAGTGGGGGAGGTTTCGATAATGGGGCCTGGTGCTTTCCATCTTCCGTTTGTATAATATGGTCACCGCAGTAATGGCCGACATCAGTGATATGAGTGGGGACTCCGGGAAAATGGCCGCTCGGGTCCGCCCTTACATGTGATTGGGAGCCAGAGTTCTATTTAAGGAATCCGGTCCTCGGTGGGTGTTAACCCTGAGGAAGTCACGTGTTTACCGTGACACAACGCGTCGGTACGCGAGGAGGATTCTGGGAGCGCGGTGAAGTCATTTCCGGCATGGCGCCATATCTGAAACCCCTATATTAAATACCCATGCAAGGCA